CCACAGTGGCGTCCGGCAGAGCCGTATCCGCCAGAATGAGAGCCTGCTGTTAGCTGGAACTCTCGGATCCTGAGGAATCCGACGCATCTCTCGTGGACTGGGAGAAGACCTCCGAACACCTCCAGTTGCCCGAGACCACCAAACGTGACAAGAAGAATTGGGCCAATTGCCTGCCACCAGGTAGCCTCGGCAGACGAGACACCAAAAAAAGAGTGTCGACAAGGATTTCTACATATTTCTACATGGGGCATCTGGGGAGCTCAAAAGCCAACAACAAGAATCTTTTAACATAGGCCAGCAACTTCAATGTGCCACGGATGCCCAAAACAGCGAAGAAAAGCACCACTAAGAAGGAAAGGGAGTACACAATGAACAGTACTGTGTTCAGTTCAGAAAACATGGCTGCGTTCTCCAAAGAACTTAGTTCCACCAGGCAAAAATAGAATACTGTCACAATCTTTGCCATCGCGTTCAGCATGAAACATCGTTCATCGATGGAGCGTCTGACAAACAAACACAAGAAGGCAAGCCTGGCAAGAATGGATGTGCATTGAACTGGCAACCAAACTGGAAAGGCTTCTGCAATTGGATCAGCTGCTTCATCAATCAAAACAATATATTGCACCACCATCCAACAACCCAACAGTAACAAAGGCCCGAGCACCAGCGCAGGGATGGCCATTTGAACGAAACCAGCATGCCGAAGCTCAACTCCCTGCAAATAGGCGGCCCGGAGTGCATCTGATGTCATACCAGCCTTCAACAGAACCTCTATTGCCTGGTCAACTTCATCAACCTGGTCACCTATCTCATGCCGAATGTTCACTTCGTCTTGAACTTCTGAGCACGATGCATGACGAATTGACCCGTGATATTGATTTTGCAACGCTTCTGCCTCTTCCATTTCTATTTGGCAGTTCACGCGGTCAACTTCAGCAAGTAAGAAATAGACCAAAATGCAAATACGATGCCAATACACAATCATATGTGCTGTCCACCCAGGAAAAGGAAGAAAGTGATATCGTCTCAAAACACGTGTGACAGAAGCCGCCGAAGTACTGGCTAGCAGGCCCACATGGTTGGCAATCAAGCACAGCCGCATCTGACCACAGTGTTGACTCACCAGGCTTGCAAAAACCGCTATCATTCCTCAATTGTGCCGCTTTTAGTGGGGCAAGGTTGTGTAGAAAACGGTTTCTCCAAAATTGTTTTGACACCGCGAGACCAAATTCAGAATGCCAAAAAAGGTCACTCAACTTAGCAAGCTGGGATTCTCATTATCAGTATGAACTTCAGGAATGGATCCATCTGCCCCAAATTGACCAAAATGCCGACTATGAGGCCTATCAGCAGTGCAGGAAGCATCCTGAGCCAAGAACACACAACTTCTCCCCAAATGGAAGGCGAAGCCGTCCGAATGATCTTGTCACTTTGAAAGGCCAAGTAGGCTTCATAGCCACACCACAGCCTTGTGTAGACACTCTTGTGCCGGTTAGGCACCACCAACATGTATTTGGAGCTCTGCAGGGCCAGTGCAAAAGGAGACAATGACGGGGACTGAAGCAAGGCGCCAATATCTAAATTCTGCGGGTTTGCAAGCATGCAGCACCAAGCATGGCGTGCACGCCAAGGCCAGGATGTCAGCACTTTATCGGTGAACTCGAACACATCTTCCTGCCAGGCGTGAGTAATAAACAAGTCGCAGTCAAGTCCATCAGGATTCATCATCAATGCCCAGCTCATTTTGCCAGCACCCGCTGTGATCGGCTTGATGTAATGTTCATTCACTGCATAAATGCTTGGCCCATACTCTGAGAAGTTCTCGTGAAAGTTCTGGCCATCTTGGATGGCCCTATGGACTTCAGACCGGAAGAACTTGAGATCAGCAAAGGTGATGCACCACCTTGCTGGGTGCACTGTTTCATGCAGTTCTATGGCTATGTCAGTCACGCCCCGATGCCAAACTGGCGCGGTATTCGGCGGCTGCCGATCATCCAACATCACATTTCAGTGGAGATGCATCATCGAGCTTGAGAAATAAACTGTGTTAAAGAACATGAGGGGACAGCCGAATTGGTAGGTTTTGCGACCGCCAAATCAACATGTTCCAGGGTGTTCATCATTGCTCTTACTGGAATTACTTCATATTGTACAAAAAGACAAATCACTTGCTTTCCGGCGCGTGCTGCGAGAGCTTCATGTACACAAGAATTGCTGCATGCAAACAAACTTCTGAGAATCAACATCTTGGTGGTTTGCTGCAGTATATGGAGAATCGCTACAAGAACATCAAACAGCATGGTAGATGTCCTGAGGGTTTGACCTGCAGCGGCTTCATTCTTCACCCAAAACCGTCGCTGCGCACCGGAGCAGGGGCGGTACGGTCATCCGGATCGGGTGAACGCGTTCAGCGCATCCGGACAAGGAAGAGAGTGCCTGGTTGCAATCCGGAAGAGCCGAAAAGGGTGGGAAGAGTCCCACTGGAAAAACCCATGGTCCAACATCTGATTTGAGGGGTTCTCATAAATGCATTGGCGTGTCACAAGCAGAGTGCTCGACGTCCGCAAATGGAAATGGAAGAATGGTTCTCATAAATCTGAGATTGCAGCTACTTCATTGAACCAAGCGCTTCCGGTTCGTCCTGTTTTCTGGGGTGCCCCGAACACCCTGGTTCACCGGGACCGATTCGTTGGCACCCCCCCATCTGACGACCTGTCAGCACCACGTGGTGAACAGCACGGAACAGCACGCGCATGTCAACGGCTGACGGAGCACCTTCGTGGCCCAAATCCAACTTGAGATCTCCCAGCACCAGCACCAGCTGTTGAGCCTCAGCTCTTCGTTCGCCCAAAACCCCGCGGGGGTTCCGTGCCGCTGCAAGGCCGCTGGTGCGGTGCGCCGGGAAGAGGCTGCTTCCATCGATCCCCAGAAGGCAGAATCCCCACAATCGACTCAGACCTCCCCCCACGGGTCGTCGGCCCCGATGGAGTCGTACTGAGCTGGGCCGACCTTAACCGTCATTGGAGGATGAACAAAACCGCAGCGCGTGGCCACGCAGAATGAGATCAAAACCTTGGTTTAGTAAAGTACTATATCCCTCTCTCACAAGGACAAAACCCTTGCTGGCAACATGCTTCTCTGGAGATCTGTCTTCAACGCAACTCTCTTCAGAAAACCCTTCTAGGCAAAAGCATGAAAGAAGCAGAAACCACTGTGCGCCCATAACAAGAAAGACCCTCCAAAACTCCAAGGACATGCATCAGCTCCTGCTTCATTCGACTCCAACCTACAATAGCCATGGCCTCCACCCTAGTAGCAATGGCCGATTCATCCTCAACCCCCCGCCCCACACCTCCCCAGAAGCCGAAGAAGCCGGTGACTCGGACAGGAGCTCCCCGACGTGTGCGATCTCGGCATGACCCGACGGCTCGCTGTCTCTGGTGGGGTGAACTCCCGTCTGGCAGCTGGGCAAAGCTGAGCTCTGAGCTCGAAGTCATGTAGTCATATTGTGGTGAAGTCTGACCGTCTCCTTTTCATGGAGCAAGCGGCCGAAACGTGTATCATTATGAACCTGAAAACACGTTTGTCCGGCTCCCAGTGCTTTCTCGGGTCCCCCAGGCTCGCTCTTTTTTGGCCGCAGCAAAGCCCAGATGCTTCGCGCGCGAAAAGTGAGCTAGAGAGAGTGAAATCCTTCAGATATTCACTGGTTGGCGGAAAAACAAACACTGGAAGAATGACCAGAAAGCCTTCTTCCAAATAAGATCACAAAGCAAAAAAGAAACATCACTTCTAGGTCATCGCCTTGACGTAGGTCATCGTGTTGAGGGGCATTGTTAGGCACCTTCGCATGTGGAGTCCACTGCCACGATGGAGACATTCTTGCGTGAGGGCACACCTACAGAGGCGGTGGTAGACTCCATCAGCCGGGGTGGCATCAAAAACCCTTGCTGCACGGCAGAGTGGTGGCTCAACGGGTTGCAAAGGGATTCACTCTTCTTATCTATTCTGGAGTTGCTGTTGATGCCTGATTCCTCCCTCTCCCCAACTTCTCGAGAGAGAGATAGAGAGGGAGAGACAGAGTTCGTGAATAAGCAGCCCATCTCATGTTCCTTCCCTCACAACCTCTGGTGGCCTAGGGGCTAGGGGCTCCTTGCTTTAGCTGTTCTACATGTTCTACATTTGCACGACCTGGTTGTTGATCATGGCTCTTTGTCCAGCATAACAAACGAGGCTCTGGGTATCCCAAAATCTGGCTATCGGAGAATGGGTCAGGTGTTGCGACTCTCTGGTGAAGCGAAAGTCTCGGACACCCGAAGGAACCGCCCCGAGACCCCTGTTGGGCCATGAGCTTCAACCCAAAGCGACCAGGTCCGTCGGTTCAACCCAGGTCCGTCGGTTCAACGCCCAGCCACCGGAGGCTCTCGCCGTTCGTGTCCGGCAGAGCCCATGGGCAGCGGCGATGAGGCCAACCTCCAGCGCTCGGATCGGCATATTTAGTCCCTGAGTGAATGGATCATTAGTACATTAGGCATCCCTACTCTCCAACTCCTGGCATACCCCCTCTTAAGACTCTTGAAAAGAATCAAACTTTTCGATCGTGACCCCTTTGCTCCTAATTATCTCCATAACCGCTTGATTTTCTGGGCCCTCTGCTTATGTCACTCACCATAGATGGTTCCAATGGCGACTTAGGGAAAAAGGGCTGCCAAAAAAACAAACATGTTGAGTGTGTATTACAATGCGAGACCTCCCAGTTCGCAATCCTGGAAGACGGAAAAATTGACCAGTCTACCCACTGGGCCAGGGTGGGCCAGGGTGGGCCAGGGTGTCTCCCTATTAAAATCCACACCTGTGAGGAATTGAGTCCGGTCACATCCCCGCGAGAACTCCCACGTGTCGCCCCGAAGGAAAACATGAAAAAAACCGGTGGTTCTCTTTCCAACAAACAAACCTAAGAAAAATAAGTGTGCGCCAGATGTCTTCGCTGGCTGAAGCAAAGAACACATGGAACAACATCAAAATCATTCAAAAATCAGTTCCAAGGGAAGACCTTGGCCGCAGCGACCCACACCCAACACACCCTATGCCAAGGCACAGTGGCACACATCACCCAATCCAAAGGCGGGTTGCCACTTACAGCCCGGCTGTCAGCACAGTCAGCCCACACCAGCGAGAAGGTTTGGCCTGAACAAATGATGCACACCGCCAAAGTCGTGCAAATGTTTTTTGTGTAATTCGTAACCCGGTTGCTCTGAAACGTGCATTTTTCTGGGCGGCGACGTGCGCAATAAGCGTCGTAGTTTGTTTGAATGGCCTGTTTGCCCAAAAAAATCAGTGCACACGGTCGTTGGATTTTTATTTTATGTGTCGTCATGAGATATATACTGGCCAAAGTTGAGACTTACATTGGACCTGGAGGCCTGCCTGCCACTTTGCATCTGGCCCATTGTGAGCCACCAACCCAAGCACCAATCTCCATGCGGAAGAAACACACACATCACACACCCAAACACCAGCACCCCCGCAAAAAACCGCCACAAGGGGACCCAAGCCTTGATGCGAGTTCTCGACGCCCATGGAATGAATGCCCTGGAGAAAGAGAGGCCCAAATGGCAAAATGACACAGGTGGTGAGCACCTTGGTGACAGGACGTCAAGACGTCGTTCCGAAACGGCTGCGCTTGGTCTGGGCCGAATGCTGTTTGGAGCGAGGTCGCTTGGGTAAAAAACATCATGTGACTCTTGATAAACCCCTCGGCTTGGATTTTCAAGCTTTTCATATGGGAGGTTGAAATATGATCAAGAGCCTAGCAGGCAGTCTCCAGAGTTACCCAGGAGGTTGGGGACACTCTCCAAAATCCCCAAACACGCCCACGGTGTCAAAGGGTTGTGGGGCTTTGTCATGGATCGTGGAGACGTTGTAACCATTGTAGACCCTTAGCCTGGCTAGATTCATCGTGTTTTCTGGACTTTGTGTCATTGCTGGGGAATTTGCAGAGTCTCCCTGCAACGAGAAAAACATGTTTCCCCCACCTGTCAAGTGAGGGTTGTTAGATTTTAGAAGAGGATCCCGCCTCCTCTCTCTGTCTCTGCCTCTGTCTCCTCGCCTCAATTGCCAGCGACAGGCCTTCGCCATGTGCACCAGGAACTCTTGTCCTGTGACATGGCCACCGCAGACGATGGTACACACGACGTTGCAACGTTGCATTCATGCAACTGACGCCATTCTGTCTCCCCTTCCGCTTCACGTGCTTCGGCATCAAGCGCTTCAGACTTCCCAAGCAGCATCGATGCACTGAGTGCCACCAACCTAACTCAGCTTCGGTCGAGGAGCACGTCGAAGCTGCACAGCATACTGTTGCTGCTGGTGAGACACCTGAGCACAAGGGATCTTCAGCTTCTTCAACATAGCAGCTTTAGAGCCTTCCTCCAAGTCGACCACGTTCCCTGATCGCTGCCCTGAAGACACAGCACTTGCACTCGACTGCTCCATCGTCGACACACTCAGGCCTTCCGTGTCAACCAAGCGAATTAAACATATCGTGCTATAAACTTTAGCCTGCCAGGTATACACCCCGGATGAAAAGAACATGGAAATCAAAGCAATCACATGTCTCCATACTCAATATCAATATACCTCCCGGTGCAAGGCACGAGTCGATGAGAATCGGAGAATGTACTTGCAGCTCCAAGTGGTAACTCCGGCGTGCACCACTACAGCCGGGGCTCTTCGTGGGGTTCTTGAACGTGTTCGAGCCGCCATCTGTGGCGCAGACTGTTGGCCACATGACGAAAATTGCCCCCCCCACCAACCATGGTAGCATCATTGGCATGAATTGTCTTCTGGCGCCTATGGCTCTATATCAAAACACATTGAAGAATTCCACTATGGCAGGTTTTCGCATATCAGCCACAGGCGCCAGGAGACGTTATGGGCAACTACTTGAGTCTTGCTGCTCACCCCGAAGAAATGCCCAATCTCAGCTTTTTGCATTGGATTCCTCCCCAAACCCCCATAGGCCCCGTAGCTTTGCTGCTCTCGCTTTCGGCTTTTGAACTTCACCAGGCCGGGTGGCTGTGCGTAGCGGCTGCGGCAGGGCAGCGAGCTGCTGCCCTAGCGCGGTGGGCGCCAAGGCCGACTCTAAGGCGCAAAGGATGAACCTCATCCGCTGGCGAGCGCCAGACACCGAATTTTGTTGGATGCATCAGGAAAAAAATGCAGAACATCTTGGGGGAGTTAAGGCCAAAATGCTGCGAGGTCACTAGTTTCATGGCAACTGAAGATTGATCCCTCAAATCCGACAAGCTTGCCATCTCACTTCTGACCAAGCCCACCCCGACCTCCCTCGAAACGACGTCCTGCGTAACAGGGGTCTCCTTAAAGAGGCATATATCTCTAGACTCTTGTGGAGCGTGGGGTGGCCATGGTCCCCGGGTCCTCCTGTTTGCTGTGCACTCGCACACGGGAAGCAGCACCAGAAGCTTATCTCAGGTGCCAATCATTGGAGAACCAACGGATGGGGTAAACCAAGTCGTGACTTGGTGGGTTGTTCTTGCTGAAAGTGAACAATGTCCGGGAACCATGTGCCTGAACAGTTCATAGCTTGAGGATGAAAATCATTGAAAGTCCAATATCCCAGCGTTCTTTCAAGTGCTCCAAATCTTGAAAAATGAAGACTTTGGCGGCCGCAGTCTCTGCACGGGCAAGCATGGTTTGCCTTCAAGATGAGGGGCTGGACGAGGAAGAAGACCAGGCAAAGCCCCGGCACGTAGGAATCTCTCTGATGCCAGTTCACTGCTAGCCACCTGTTGGGCAAGGTTAAGGTCCACGTTCCATCCAAAATCCATCAAAATCCCAGAGTCCCAGAGTCGTGAAACAGACTTGGACTGGCTGTTGGTCGAAGCTTTAAGACAGCATGTTGTACGAGTTGGGGCATCAAACATCCACAAACAAACTATGAGAGCGCTTGTATCATCATCATCATCATCATCATCATCATCATCATCATCACCATCACCATCATCATCATCATCGCCGTTCTTTTCCTACGGCATTGTAAAATATGTATGAAAATAGGAGGACCTCCCAGGCAAGAATGGAAACAGACCAGTCTCAACCATTGGTTGGGAGTTGGAGGCACCCCTCTTCAAACACACTTACACACCCATACAAACAAAACCATGGGGGCTACGTACTGAAGCTTCACCCGCAAGTCGACCGTCTGGGTGGCCCGCAAGTCGACCGTGCGAGGAAATCCCTGTGGGCGGACGGAGGGGTAGCTGTGCAGCGGTTATCACCAGGTCTTGTGCTCTCTTTGTCCAAAGCAACGGTTACCACCAGTTCAGCCGTGTAAAATTAGTAGCTAACAATGTATTAATGATTGATCATGTATTAATAAGCTGAAAAATC